CATACAACAATATTTACAGCAAGGGAAGCCACATACTGCCGTTGCGCAACCTATCCCCATAAAATTATTTTGCGCAACTTATTCATTAAGAAACGAGCAGTAAAACTCTCTTACCGGCGCTGGCGTTACCACAGTAACGAAGAGAGCAAGCTGGTGTCCTCGTTAATTTATATACAAAGAAGTAGCTGCAGTTCCTGACTTTGACTGTGCTTTTCCACCTACAACATTGGTTTGACCAGTGGAAACAGACTTCACGTGTCACTACACCGTCTGCCACTGTAGGATGGGGACCATTTAACCAGCCTGCAGCATGAGTGCCACAGCGTCTGAAGGGAACGCATCGGTCAGCCATTCTCTCCCCTGCAAATCCTTGAAAGCGGTACCAGCCCGGCACCAAGTCCCGCTGGTCGCATTTTCTGTTGTTCTGAACTTCGTTTCCTTGAGCGCGGTCCGCTTCACTTAGGACTTTGTAGCTTTTACATCCGTCCGCTTAAATGAATTAGATACAGATTGATCAGCGTCAATGTCGTGGGAAACTTCATCTCGTTACAGCCAGGTTAATAAGTCTTCGCCCAGATTGGTTAGAGTTGTAATCATCGACTGATTTGAACTGCTTTCAAATTTATCAGAAGATTGCCGTTAAGGTTTTCTTTGTTTCGCAAGTCGTCGTGTAGCTTCAGTTTTTGCGTTGGAATTGAATTTTGTTTGTAATGTTAACGCTTTTCAAACTGTTTGTTTTCAATGTTACAAATGATCTAACCCTAAATTACCCCATAACTAGTTTTAATCGCCACTGACGCCTAGTAGCGATTCAAGTGCTTGGTTTAAATCAAGAGAAATATCTTGTATTTAGTTTATGTGGCTGTCATAGCCATGTAAGCCGTAATCGATCTTGTTCTCATGCCCTCGCCTTCCTTGGGATGAGGAGGGAACTAAGACCCAGCTTTGTCAGTCAGGTCATAGCTGAATGAACTTAATTGAAAAGCGCTGCAGCTGTTACTAGGACCCTTCAGATATTACTTTACCTGGTGTTTGTGGAGCTCTCGGTGTAGCATCTGGTGGAATGGTGGTATTTGCTGAAAAATATGACCCCAAACTTACAATTAAAAAAGTGCCACAAGCATGACTCGCTGCCGTTTTTCTTTTCTTTTTAAGGATGTAAGACCAAAATCTTACCTTCTTTGTTGCCGCAGTAGCGCAATGAACAAGCTGGTGGTTTTTGTAATTCATACACAAAGAAGTCGCCGCAATTTTGAATTTTCACGTTATTGCTCCATTGGCAGCAACCGCTGGACCAGTGATAACAGACTTGACGAACTACGATTCCTTCCTGTACACTGGGATGTGTACCATTAAGCCAGCCTGGAGCGTGAGTACCGCAACTTCTCTTGGGAACACAACTCTCTGGAATCTGATCACCACTATCTCCTGTCATACGATACCACTTTGGTAACAACATGTTGTCTGGGGCTCTTCCATCGCACTTAACCGTACTTTGATCAGAGTTGCCCATTGCGCGATCAGCTTGGTTAAGGTCTTGGTACCCGCCATCGGAACATTGCTTGGGCTCTCCTGCAAAGTAATGAAGGAAACTAATGCAAGACTTCAATTCTTACCCTCTTTTAGATTTATAACAGAGGCGTCAAGAAAGCATGACCAGCGAATTATCTGAGGTCTGTGTAATTGGATAACGATCATTCAATGACAGAAGCATGTTAGGTTCTGGTGGATTTAGGAGCGAATGGATTAAACACTTACCGCAGTATCGTAGTGAGCACGCAGGTGGTTTTTGCAGCTCATACACGTAAAATGCTCCACAATTCTTGACATTTATCTTGTTTTTCCACCGGCAGCAGTTTCCCCAGTGGTAACAAACCTCACGGCTAACTATACCCTCTGCAACAGAAGGATGATTTCCATTCAGCCAACCGGGCGCATGCGTACCACAGCGTTTTGTTTCTGGACATTTGGTCGGCATCCTGTCACCAGCTGCACCAGTGAAGCGAAACCAGCCTGGCAGAGTGGGATCTCGCTGATCACATTTCACTGAGCTTTGCTCTTTGTTACCCACAAGACGGTCGTATGTATGGAGGAACTTGTGACTACGTGCATCACATGGGTCAAATACTGAGACGAAAACGAAATAACTCGTGATTAGATATTGATGGAGATGGAATGAACGTTTTCTTTAAGAAGGATTTGTTGAAATATCACTCGTTTTCCCGCCCTTTTGTGGTTTTACGCCTGGGGACCGCGGACGTCTGTGTGCGTTCATCTTGGTTTAGTTATGTTTTGAGCTCAAAAATAGATAATTTTATTTGAGGAATTATTCCTGCTTATTCGACTGTTCTCTTATCAAGACCATGTATCCTCAAAGTGTTATGTACCGTGAACCTTAAGCACGAACCATAGGGAATGGGAAACCCTCTTTTATCTATTCAGTTTGCTACATTTTATAACAATTTTGTCTGGTTAAAAAACTAGGCAATGCGTACTAAAACCTTTCCCTCACACAGACTCCAATGCTTCCTTTTTAAGAATTCTTTTGATGTCTTCGACTAGCTTACACTGGTTTGACTGGAAGAGGGGTCGTTTAGGAAATCACTTCAAATCGTGAGATTGTTGGTTTTATGGCATCCACTGGTGATCCTTATAATCTTATTGGCTCTCATTGGTGCGATTTATTCACGAGTCGCACCATTCTTTGTTCTAAATCGCTTTTTTTCCGGCAAAAGTAGAAGCTTTACTAAAACATAACAACTAATTGCTTGTTTAAAGAAATCAATAAAATCGCAGGAAAATGGAAACAACTTATACAACTTTCTGCAAACCAGCTCACCACTAAATTAACAAATTCGCGCGTACGCTTTCAAACCAAAGTGCACTCCACTCCGAGTTCTGATACCATTATAAAATGTTTCTTGATATCTTGGATTGGTCTCATATCCTATAATTTTTGTGCTCTCGTCTTCATTTTGCTATTGATTTTACTTCACTTTACTTAATTTCTTTTCGTTTCGCTTCACATGTCTCATAATCTAGCGTAGGTGAGAGCCTCACCCATACCAGTGAGATATATGTTCAAGATCTTTATACACTGAGTACCCCACGTTACACTAAGAATGTTCGGGAATGGGAAAGTGGTAAAAGGTAGTCGTACAGTAAGGATTTTTGCATCAAGAACTGAAATGAGAAGTAAATGCAGTCTATACAATTTTGCACTATCGATGAAGCGAGTGTTTACGGTCGCATGGAATTAAGGGTAATTAGAAAAGAACACATGGTCAAAGTACACCCCACGTTTCTCAAGAACAATGTTGACAAGGTATTGCATTTTCCTTTCATAACATAAAAAACGTAAGCGAAGAGGAAACATGCTTGGAAAATTGCAGTACAAGTTATTAAAACCATTTGCTGAATTAATGTTTATACAAACTTATTTTGCTGTCATCGCAAAACTTTTGTGTTTGGTAACTAAGTTACCTGGTTTTGGTGTCGTGATCGTTGGTGGAGGCTGAGTGGTAGGTGCTGCAGAAATAATAACAAATTATGAATTACACTAAAGTAACATCATGGCTACCTAGCTTGGTTATTTGACATTACCATTAGAAATACATATTCATGTTAGTCACTAAACTCATTGCTGTTACCTTGCATGTTGCCACAATAACGTAATGGACATGCTGGTGGTTTTTGCAACTCGTACACATAGAAGTCTCCGCAGTTTCGGATTTTAATGTAATTTTTCCATTGGCAACACCCTCCTGTCCAATGGTAACAGACTTGACGTTTTACCACACCTTCCTGAAGACTTGGATGTTGACCATTAAGCCAGCCTGGAGCATCAGTACCGCAACGTCTCATGGGGACACAACGTTCTGGAATCTGGTCACCACTGTCTCCCGTTATACGATACCACTTTGGTACAAGAATGTTGTCTGGAGCTCTTCCATCGCACTTAATCCCACTTTGGTCTGAGTAACCCATTGCACGGTCAGCTTGGTTGAGGTCTTGGTGGCCGCCATCTGAACATTCTTTGGGTTCTCCTGCAAAGTATTGAATACAATTTTAAAAAATAGACTTGTGACATAGTAATATTTGGAAGTAATGGGGCAAGAAGCCGAAGCTTCGTAATTGAAACTGATACTCACCGCAGTATCGAAGTGAACACACAGGTGGCTTCTGCAGCTCATACACGTAAAATGCTCCACAGTTCTTGACTTGTATGTCATTTTTCCAGTGACAGCAGTTGTCTGTCCAGTGGTAACACACTTTACGACTTACTATGCCGTCTACGACAGAAGGATGGCTTCCATTTAGCCAACCTGTGGCATGCGTACCACAACGTTTTATTTTCGGGCATTTGGTTGGGATCCTGTCGCCTGCTGCGCCCGCGAAACGAAACCAGCCCGGAAGAAAAAGATATCGCTGATCGCATTGCACTGAGCTTTGATCTCTGTTTCCAACAAGACGATCGTATGTGTTCAAGAGTCCGTGGCTTCCTGGATCACATGGGTTAAATGCTGCAAATTGAAAAAGATAGCATCTCGGACATGATGTCACCAAAAAACTGTATCTTTGTAGTTGGAAAGCACACTGTAAACAACCCCTTCTTTTTCAGGTATAAACATTGACAATAGTAAATGGAAAAAAGGAATTTTTTATCTGCCACCCCTTGGATTTCCAGTAATATCCGAAGGTAATCGAAGCCAAAATGTCACCAAAAATACAACAGCACCAGAAAAACAACAGCACCAGAAAAACAACAGCACCAGAAAAACAACAGCACCAGAGAAACAACAGCACCAGAGAAACAACAGCACCAGAGAAACCACAGCACCAGAGAAACCACAGCACCAGAAAAACCACAGCACCAGAAAAACCACAGCACCAGAAAAACCACAGCACCAGAAAAACCACAGCACCAGAAAAACCACAGCACCAGAAAAACAACAGCACCAGAAAAACAACAGCACCAGAAAAACCAACCGGAAAGTTGATGAAAGTTACAGAAAGCTTTCCTATTGTTATTCAGCATGCACACTCGTGATCATCCTTGAGAACTCTTGTCTACTTCATGGTAACCACTCCTTTGATAAATTTCGATAGGGTGATGTTCGCAAAACACCGTTGTTTCTTTATCGAACAAGAAAATGAAAGAAAATAAATTAAACGCCAATTCGCTATCCGGAAAACTCTTAGCCCCTTAACAAAACAAATTTTAAACGAACCAAATTTAATCCTGAGAATTACCTGGAGTGTGAATAGGATTTACTAGAATTCATACCTTCCGATGGACCTTTTGTTGGACCTTCTGTCGGGCCTTCTTTTGAACCTTCAGATGGCACAACAGATGGACCCTCAGATAGACCCTCAGATGAACCCTCAGATGCACTCTCAGATGGACCCTCAAATGGAACTTCTCCAGATGAACCTTCGGATGAACTTTCTGATGAACAAGAATATTAATAAATCAGGAATTATTTCAAGCCAACAAAGGCTTCCTTGACCCGGTTTACCTCGTATATTGTCTCAAACAACGTTAACGTAAAGGAATCATAAGACAACATGTCTTGATTCATTTTTAGAGGTACATTAAATCTACCGTTATTGAAATACCATTTGTGTTTGAGCGTTCATTTCAACCGACACTCGACCCAGCCCTTAACCGTTTTTGATGA